ATGGGTACTCCATACCAGTAGCACACCACCTAGATTTTCTGGGGTGCAATGAAGGGATGATCGTGGTATCATGCTGGCATAAAAGCATAAACGAAATTCGTGATCAGGCAGAAGGAAAAGGAGCAACTAAAGGAAGCAGCGGTTGCCTTGACTTGAAAACAAACAGCAATGTCACCGCTTCTGGTCCGAGAGCTGGCGGCTTCAGCGCTCATGATGCCAACAGCTGCCACGATACTGAGGGCCCTGCGCAGAATGCACATCCTGCGCATTGTATCGAACCACGCTACCCGCAGAAAACATACGCGGCTGCCTGGCTCAGAGAGCTTGTATCTAATGCCGAGGCCTACTTACCCAAAATCTAGCGTTTGGGGTATACTGCGTACTGCCCAGCACCCCAAACTTTGCCCCATGAGCTCCAACACTCTCCGCAGTGTAAACTCTCTAGTAACGCATTTCCAAACGCTTGCCGGAAGCACTCGTCTGGGCCTCCCAAATGGTCACAGCTTCAGGACAAGAGCAACCTCCGAAGTCCTTTAACTGAATTAGGGAAGCTTCCTTGAATCAGAGCGGATGTTGTGAGAACATCGAGAGTTTACTTCCAAGGGGGTGTTGGAAGTTCTGGGCCAGCAGACATCAGCATCAGCCAGTGCACTTGCCTTCTGGATAGAACAACGTCCTGAAAGGAGCATCGCTCACGACGAAGAAGTCGGAACCGGGCCAGTAATCGTCATGATGCGGCCTCAGGCTGCACATGAAACCGCTCGCACCCCAAACAGCCTTAAAACCCATAAAACATGATCATGTCTAAGTCTATCCCTAAACACAACCATAATTGAGGTCTCTATGTATTGCTCGTCCAGCTTAGGAGCAAAATGTCTTTGCAGGCAGAAAAGCGAACAAAATCAGAGTGGCCCCAAACAACCCTGAAGCATGATCTGTAGGGACTGCAGGAAGGAGGTACATAAGGCCGGTTCTCAAAATTGTTGGCTCCTTTTGATTACAGGTTACATTGCGGCACCCCAATATTTAGGGGTACCAATCAAAATGGGGCCCTAATTTTTGGGAACTACCCATAAGTTTGAGAAGCCTCAACATCTACCCGATCCATAGAGGGGGAGGTACAGGAAAACCTTAGGGTGGTTTCCGGAGTGCTAGGGAGGACTAGGGAGTCGCTGGCTAGGTTACCTACAAGTAATCCCCTGGAACCCGCCCCCTTTACAATCATTAAACAGGGATTATATAGGGTATGGCACAGGTATGTATAGGGGGAATATAGGGATCATGGAAAAGAAAATGGAAACTACCATAGTGGGAAACAATCTTATGAAACGTGGTCCAGGAAAGTTCTGGATCTCTTCGGTGCAGCACCCGATGTTGAGGCGAAGGCACGTTCATGAAAACATCCTGCCTCGGATCAGCAAATGCAACTCTCATTTGGCAGCTGACACTGTTGTGAAAGAAGTTTTCTGTGCATTTGCTGAAATCCGGAATGTAATGTCCCCTTATCTTCCCTAACTTTCAAGGATCCGTTCCTCCGTGGGGGGGATCGTTTCCTTACATCCGCTCTCTGGCTGTCTTGGCCGAGCAACTCATCATCAGGTTGATCCGGTCGCCCGGCATCCTGCGCGCTGTGTTAGGGCTTATGATGCTTTAGCCACGTGCATGGCCATGCAACACGGCAAGGTTCCAATCCGGTGAGCCAGGAAACTACACCTGTCCTCAAGCCGCGCCCGGTACACCAAAGACCAAACGAGAGGGGCTTTCAGTTTAGGAGTTCTGTCTAAGCCCGGGCCCTCTACCTACAGAAGCACCGAATAACAGAACCAACCAGGCAGCAACACATCATCCTTTTGGCGATCCTTGCGCTGTCTCACGAGAAATGCCCGTACCAAGGCATGTCAGCTTCAAGTCTAGTAAACGGCCCCAGCCGGATCCTCAGTAATTCGGGGTCCCCATAACTCCAATACACCCCTAGGGCCCTAGAGTTGACACACAAACACTCTTGCAAGGAAGGTATGCCCTGCTTCATGAGCAATCCTCTGATCTGGGCTGCTCCAAGGTGCGCATCTGCCGCGCCTGGCGGATGTCCCTTGCAATGCTGCTACTACTGCTACTACTCCTACTCCTACTCCTCTTCTCCTTCTCCTACTTCTGTTCCTCCTCGTCCTCCTGCTACTCCTCCTTCCGCTGACAACAGCAAAAACTACAGCGACGGCACATACGGCGACTCTTGCCGCAAGTGCAAGAAGTCATTTTGACGTTCCATTTTAGACACTAACCACTTATCCTGCAAGAGCAGGGCCCTGGCCATGATGGTCACCGTGGCATCTCTATTCGAACATCGCGCCCAGTCAACCTGCAGCAAAGGTCTCAGGTCACTCATGCACCTGAGAGTCACTTTTCTTTGGGAAATATCGGGGTCTTGAGAATATCGCTATCCAATCCTTCTCCCAAATGGAATGCTAGAAATGACTCTCAAAACACCTCGGCTGCGCAAGACTCCCAGATGCTGTCAGCCTCAGGCAAGCTTTCTAGCACAATGTCGAAAGCTTCCTGGAACCTGCAAGCTGCGGGTGCGCAATCACAGCAGAACAGCAACTAGCTGCTGCAGCATCAGGGGCTGCAGATCAAACCAAGCTAAGGGTACGTATGTAATTCTTTGTAAAGTCTGATGCTCGTCTAGTGCCAGCAGTCTTGGCGAGCGTTCTGATGTGCCAATGTAAGCAACTAGTCTGCAAAATCACATAAGTTCCTGGAGCTTGGCATGCGGCTGGGCCAAGTAGTCCGGCAGTTTGGGGGACACGAGGTGGAAGTTGTCTTGGCCACGTGCCCGCCTCAGTCAGGCTTCTTGACCCGCTTCGGGGTGGAAATCCTAAGTGGTTTGGGCAGAGATCCGGCGAGACCTAGAGAGTAACTACACAGTCGTTGGTTAGCTGCAGAAACATGGCTGCGCTCTTCTCATTTATTCCAAGATCCAAAACGAAAGGTAGGCATGTTACAACACACTGGTGTTGTCCACAACGCTTACTAAAGGGATATAGGTTCGAACCTGGTTGCAACTGTCTCTCCCTCCTTGGGTCCAAAATGAATGTAGCCATGACCTTCACGAGCTCCTGGCGGCTCGAGGTCTAAAGGGGCAGAGAACTGGCGCATGTTCAGGAGGAAGCCTACTACCTGAGCCGGGCAGGCAAGGAATGCGCCAAAGGAATACTTCACACGTTTGGGAGCTTCCAACAACTGAGGGGGTCTTCATCTGGGAGCACCTATATAAGGACTATACATATACCGGGGGTTTATATTCAGGCCCCGTCTTTATGGAACCTCCAAGTTCTTCTGATCGCACTGGCCACTTCTGCAGAAAGGCTCCTAAACCCTGGACCCTAAACCCCTAAAGCCCTAAACCCTGCTACAGTAAACCCTTAAACCCCAAGTGTCTGCTTCGAATCTCAAGGTCGCGGACCTTGACAGACCTTGGGATTTCCAGCCACAAGCGACAAGTTTCCATGACTTACTGGTTCTTAGTAGGGAACAGGGGAACATATTGCCTATATAATCCTAATCTACTGTATTTCAACATTCCCTGCTAAGAACCAGGAAGTTTGCATGACTTCAGCAATTCAGATCTGCTCCGAGCCATTGGGTGATGCTCTTCTTGTGCTTAGACTCAAGGCTTTTCAGACCATAAAATCCTTGAAGGGGATCTGGGTATGCAATGCTTCGAGGCTTCTGCCCGGGAGGCTGCGCGCCACGGCTGCGGCCTCTCTTGTTAGAGGAGGCTTTGGGAGCTTCACCAAAACAGTGGCGTGTTTATCTATAAGGATTTTGGAAATACAGGGGCTGCGATCGTTTTTCAGGGTCCCTTAGTCATGCTGCAGGGATCGGCAAAACTCGCATGTTCAGGGGTTCACAAAGGCTCAACCGGTCAAATACGCGCGAGCTTTCCCAATGTGTAGGTCCCTAACCCTAAACCACGGGTTACCGAAGGCGAAGGGCGGAGAGCGACACAAGCACCTGTGGAAGACCCTGGGGCATTTGGCAAATCGCAGCGACAGTTGTGGGGATCACAATGAGGATCACCTCCTTCTGAGTAATAAGTGGGTGGCTAGATCCAGACAGACCCTCAAGGACAAGCAAAACCTTGCTTGCCATGGAGATCCCGTAAATACAAGTAGCCTACCAGAAAAGCCGGAACCACCATCCCTGTACAAACTAACTACTCTTTGGAACAGCTGGTTCGTCAGATGAGACCCAGGCATACTAATGGTCCACGCTATGGACCCGTGCGAAAAGATTATCAGATACTTGATAAGGCCAGTCCCTGGAGACCTCAGTAGAAAGACCATCCCGATGCGCTCTGCCCCAAAACTCTCCATCTCACCGCTCTACACCCACGCAGGCTAAAACCCATTCTATGTTGTTCCCAAACAAAAACCCTCGCTACAGATACTGGCAAGTCTCAGGGCCTGTGGAGCTCATCTCCCCCACGGGCTAGTAGAAGCCATGAGGCACATGAGGCAGTGGCCATTTAAGTGGTGGCGTGCGTTGCCATGCCTGGAAGGGTTTGCAAATACGGTGCACGTTGCGCTCAATTGTTTTTGGCCACTTGCATGGCGCACCACGGCGCAATGGCCATAGGTTGTAGAGGTTCAAATTCAGGGGTTCTGGGTTATCATGCCTGCAGAGAGAAACAACAACATAATAACAACAAACCAAAACGCTAGATAATAACATCACAGATAAGTTACAGTTCCCATGAAAACAGCCAGCTGCGGATGCTGCAGTCCAAGCTCTGAAAAGCACAGAAAATGTTCAAAAACTCTCGGGCGCGTCCTTGTTGGGGCTTCTGAAACGAGGAACCCCTATGTTTGCCTTTCACCTTCTGGGGCAAGTCTGTGTTGGAAACTAGGGGTGCAAGTTTCAAGCACGGCCGCCGGCCGCCAATCGATGCACACCAGTTTTCAGGTCGCGCCGAGCACATCTAGCTACCCAGAACTCCGGCGCTAAAGTACTATGGCTTCATTTGATCTGTACAGTGTTGAAAGGTGAGGTGATGTTGGTGCCGAAATGTCGCCCGGCTTGAAGCGAACAGTACCTGCTTCCTTTGCACGCTTTCTTGAAGCGGACACATTCTCGGATCGTGAGTTCTGCAGCAAATCCTTGACTTCCGCAAGAAGCCGGCGGTTGCTCTCGGCAAGGCTTGCCAAGTCCATGCTGCGCGCAGGCCCCTGCAGTTGAGACACCTGCCAGCTGTGTCTGAGAATTACTTCTGTGAAGGAGTTGGTGGAATTCAGGGGTCTGCCTTACAATAGAAGTCAATAGAAGCAATGACAAGTGCAGACTGCGATGTGCCAAGGAGTGTCAAGCGGACCTGCGGTATCAAACCAATCTGAAAAAGCCTTGCTTCCTCATCTAGTAAAGAATCAGGCGAATACTGCGAAGTCATCAACTCCCAGCAAGCTCTATAAGCTTTCAAGCTGATGTAGTTTCATTCGTTCACTACTATAGTCCCCCTTAAGTAGATAGAATATGGCTTTGGGTGTGATAAAATCCCCATATACCCCATATTCTATCTACTTAAGGGGGACTATGTACCTACTTCAAGTCTGCGTTGCGAGAGCTCCTCAGGGATGGCGTTTCTTTTTCTGGGGAAGGCACACCCAGATCTCAGCAGTAACGCAACTAACCCAGACCCATCATTAATAACGCCCCTCCCACTAATGGGAATTATGAGAGGGATCCTGACATTTAGGTCCTTAATAGGAATCATAATAGGGATCCTAATATTTAGGTCCTCAATAGGAAATATCATAGGGATCCTAATATTCAGGTCCTTGAAACGAAGGAGTTTATTAATCATGGGTCTACATTATGGCGGGACATGGAACAACCAGCAAAAGGTGCTAGCAGCAAACGAAGCAACCGTACTAGGCAATAAGCAACACAAACCAATTACTATAGACTATTGATAATGTTGGCTTCGCATTAACCTCACCCCCTCCCCGCACCACCCTTTCCCCCCCGTCCGAGTGATCTATCTCCTGTCTGGGCGAGCCTGGAATAATGATGCCAAATATGTAGGTTTGAAACGCCATTTAGAATCAACTAAAATCCACTTAAAGTCACTGCCGCGGACAAGAACTAGTATTTTCCGTGATTTTGTAGTTGTGGCTCTTGTTATAAATGAGTTCCGGCAGCGGGATTTCATAACGGGCTAGTCCTTGATGTGAAGTCAACAGTAGCAATAACAAATAATGATCACAATAATAAACTAAAACAGTCAAAAGAGTGTTCTTGCTACCAAACAATCCCTACATAAGCCGCATGTAACTGTAATCCAGACAGTGGTCGGTGTAGGGATATGGGGTTGGGCCCTGGGTTTAAAGTCGATGAGATAAGCCCGGTACAACCCTTCAGAACCTCCATGTATCCTCCCATCACTCCCATCCATAACAGTTAAATGGTACTTTCCCCAAATAGGGGGCAGGAACCCCAATACAGAACCCAAAGTACTATAGTCCTTATTATGGGGACCCTCAAAGAGGTACCCCCTAATTTTGGAAACCCCCCAAACAACGTTCCAAGAAACTCCTCGGAGCAGCTCTTGCACAGTAATGCATCCCTTGTTGTCTTGGTCCAGGAGGCAGAACACAACATCAGGATCGTGCATCGCAAGTCCTTGCGCCATAAATACTGAATAATAGGGAGCATGTTCAAATAATTTGGGACACATATCTAGACAATTCGGAAAACCCATTGATGTCCTTGGGCCGTAAACCAGTGCCGGGCACCAGCGTTCTCCATGACAGCATTCCAGTCTGATCTGGTAATCGTGGAGCCTACGCGGTTCGTGTAATGGAAAAAATCCTGCATCTTCTTGCCGTGGATCTTCTCTTTCCTTGCCACATCCCTCATCATGATGACGTCATCTGTCTGCGCCACTCGCATAGTTTCTTGCATGAATACTCCATTAATGACCCCAATACAAGCGAAGCCGACGGTCACTTTATGAAGGATTGTGATAACGTTGAAGGCGGGGCTGACAACTTCCTGGAGAATCCGTGCCACGGGCACCCAAGTACCAAGAGTCATCTGGAACATTGTCAGCATAGCTCTTGGGAATGTACCGAAATACTCAAAAAGTTGCGTCTGCTCTTGCACTGAGAAATCGAAAAAGGAGCCAGCAACAAATGTCATCAGTACTTGGTTGAGGAGAAGGGCAAACAGCAGTTGAACCATTATCATGATGACTGCGACCCACAGGAGGGCGTTGACGGAATGCTGTAAAGCCGTAGTCATCACAATGAGAGAATCGAAGCCCTGAATAGCTCTTACCAGCTTGACAAGACGAATGAGTCGCATGAGGCGGATCAACCTCAAGAAGGGCGTCTCAATCGGCAGGTTTGTCAGCAGCGTGTCCACCAGCCACAGCAGCACCAGCAAAGAATCAAACCAGTTCCATGGGTCACATAGGAACTCCTGTCGCTGCTGCTGACTAGCGAATGCCAACTTGGGAAACTGATGAGGGTGAAAGGTCTGTGTCGTATCCCCTCAGTTCCTGCAGAATAGCGCCCCGTACTATTGCATGCATGTGCGCGTACATGCGTGCAGGCATGCTTACCTCACATACTTGGATGCATTCACGCGCATGCGCAAAGAAATTGAGATGTGTTCCGAATGTCTATCCACACATGAAGCCCTGTATTCAGTCTTTGTGCCTACAAAGAGGGGAAAAGTCCTTCCCAAGCGCACATAGCTTGAGAACCACCTCCAGGAGGAAGAAGCAGCCGAAGAAGGTCTCAATGGCCGTTAGAAACGTTGGCACACCTTCTTTGTCCCAACATGGTGGGCAGCGGGTATAATTACTCCCAAACTCATATACGTGGCACAAAGATGGCCAAAAACTTCAAGACTTGCCTTCAAGGTTATGTCGTAGGTCCTTATCACAGAGAATCGCGCAAAGTACAGGAATTCCTGTGACGAAGCCCTCCAGATACCCCAGCCCCTCTCCGTTTAATCCCAAACCCAAACCGCAAAAACCACAAATCTGAAATCCCTAGGCTCTGAAAGCCTTAAACTGAGATCATACCCACAACAACCACAATAACTATAACACAAATGCTAACAGCACAGAAAGGTACTGATAGCAATGAAAGAGAGGTGACAGTAGAAAAAGTGTAGTAGTAGTAGTAGTACTACTACTACTAGTAGTAGTAGTAGTAGTAGTAGCAGCAGCAGTACCAGTACCAGTACCAGTACCAGAAGTTGTTGTAGCAGCGGTGGTGGTAGTAGCAGTGTAAGAACATAATAGTCATAATGATAACAATTACAAGAACAAGAAGAACGACAACAATACAAGTAAAATGTGAAAATAGGTACAATAACGGTTACAATAATAAGAAAAATAAAATAACAGTACAACAAATAATAATAATAATATAACAATTACATGTACTAAATAGTAATAAATAATGGTAAGAATAAGTTTTTTCACACTCCCGCCTGGCCAGGCCTGGCCAAACACACAGTCTCTTCGGGACTTGAAGCTTGTTACCAGTTGCGTGGCTTTATTGTCTGGGAGATTTGTGCATGTGGGGGTTTCCCCAAATTAGGGGTACCGTTTGGAGGGTCCCTATAATAAGGACTTGGGGGTCTATATTGGGCTCCCCCTATTTTGGGAAAATACCATTTACAGGTTTGGGGCTCGATAGATTGAGGGCTCAGGGTTTCAAGGCAATCGACATTTCTCAAGTCTTGGGCCGAAGGGCATCTTGGACAAGAGAATTCAGAAAGAGTAGCGACCCAAACGGCATGTTCTAAGCATCGGAGAAAAATTGGCATCTCTACAGGGAGAATGACCCTTGATGCTTTATGTACAGCCTGGCATGGTTATTGGAGTGTGTCGGGCTGCCGGGACGGTGCAGTGGGCGGGCTTCAACACAACATCGCGATTCCGGTTGAGGGTCTCGGTCGTTCAACACAGTCTTTTAGGTATGGATGAAGGAGGCGCAGGGACCATTCCTGCATATTCATGCAGGTTAAATTGGGCCTGACTGTCCCGCGTCCCTATGACACTGTGCCTCTGAAAGCATGAGAGCTATATACTTGTACACGTCAATGAGCACATGTGGGGGGAGGCTCTTGGATTGGATGAACCGTTGAACTGGCTTTGCATGTTGCGCCTCAGAAGCCGGGAGATTGTAGCCCTCATAGTTGAGCTCGTAGCCCCACTGCAGGCCAGTATACTGCACCTCAATGGCCATGTTCAGGGCCTGGAGGAAGATAAGGAAGGCGAAAAACACCTCGAAAAAGCAGGACCTGACCAATCGATCCGCATGCCAGAATGGCTTCAGCGGCTTGTCATCCAAAGTTAAGGAGTCTTTCAGGGAAGATGGGCTCCGGGTAAGCCTCTTGATCTCGGAACTTTTTCCAGTTGAGACGCTTTGCTTGTCAGTCTCTGAGTGAGCCTGGAAGGACTGGTTTGTCACCAGGCTGCCGGTGCCAAGATCTGGCTCCGTCTCACTCAAGTCTCTCAAGGGCTTCTCTTGGAGAAATGCCTCGGAGACGACCTCTGGCGGGCGCATCAACCGAAGTTGGTGGATGACTGCCTCATGACCTTTTGCCAAGGCTTGAAGTTCCCGTGCCAAAGCCTCTTGCACCCAGTTCACGAGCTCAGGTGTCACCTGAGCCTCACACTCCATGGTGCTTCTCTAAACTAGTTGAGTTTGCTACTTCATAGCACTTTGGACCACCAGCCCGCAGGACATGCATCAAGCATTGCACGCTTGCACGCCAGCGCTACTAGGCCGCACACTAAAATTCGAGAGCACTCGAGAAAGCTGGACCTACACAGTGAACAGAAGTAGCCGGTTGCAGTGGTGTCATCTTTTTTGTGACGCCGCATCAATTCCGAGCCACTCATTCGCCACCGAGGCAACCTCAAAGGATGGGGAGGATGATGTGAAATGACCCACAAGCGTTGATGAAGCCCATGGGGCTGACAGAGCAGGCAACACTTCCAAAGGCTTCGACTATTTTACCTCGAGTTGCCAAACATCTTTGATGGACATGGCTTTGATTCGTGAGACAATTAGCAGGTCTTTGCTACCTCTTGGAGGTACGACACCTTTTTGTGCTTCATCGTTGAATGCTTTGCGGGAACGGGTACGCCACCTGTCTGTACAGTGCAAAGCGTCTGCTACGTGGACGTCACGTCGCAATCCACCATGGAGCTCAACGCTCTAGGCAGTGAGGCGATGCGATCATACTTGAAACCCGTGTGGTGTCTGTAAGAACTCCCTGTTTTCTGGCACGCTTTGGCTGACGAAGCCGGGGCTGCGACTGGGGCTCATGATGTGGCCGGGGCTGCTAGCCCCGCTAGGCACATTTCTGGATAAAAGGTCTGCAATCTTGTCCATGAGTTCAGTCTGTCGCTGATGGATCACAACAATGTCGAGGCTTCGAGCGGGACCCTTCAGCTGCGAAACTCCCTTGATGAGCTCATCCATGGTAATGCTTTGACTGCCGTCCTTGTCGATGAGGCTAAAGACTGTGTTAGCATCTTCGACGTTGAGACCCTGAGCCTCAAACCAATGCTGAGCATGAGTGCCCTCCATCACGCGCTGCCATTCCTCTCGAGTTATTACATAGTCTTTGGAATGGTCTGCATAGCGGAAGAAGTCTTTCATCTTGGAAGAATGGATCTTCTCCCGCCTAGCTACGTCTCGCATCATGATAACGTCATCTGACTGTGCGACTTTGAGAGTTTCCTGCATAAAGACTCCATTAATCACACCAATACAGGCAAAGCCGACGGTGACCTTGTGCAGGATGGAGAAGATGTTGAAGTAGGGACTCACTACCTCCTGGAGAATCCGCGCCACAGGCACCCAAGTTCCCAGTGTGAACTGGAACATGGTCAGCATGGCCCGGGGGAAGGTGCCGAAATACTGGAAGAGTATCCGCTCATCGTCTTTAGTTAGCTCAAGGCTTGCTCCTCGAACAAGGCTCAGGAGAACTTGGTTCAGAAGCAATGCAAACATCATCTCCACCACAATCATGATCATAGCCACCCAGAAGAGAGCATTCACGCTATCCCTCAGGGCAGTAGTCATGATAATCAAAGAATCGAAGCCTTGCACGGCCCGTACCAGCTTCACAAGCCGAATCAGCCGCACAAGTCGCAATAAGCGAAGCGTGTGGCTATCCAGGGGTAACAGTGACAAGCCGGTATCCATGCACCAGAGAAGCACCAAAACCATGTCAAACCAAGACCAGGGATCCCGCACATATGCGCGGCCAAGCACCCCAGTCTTCAGCACAACTTCAATGGTAAACAGAACGCCGAAGAAAACATCGACAGCCTTGACAATAGTGGGAACGCTGTACCATATGTCTGCTGCCGGAGAGGAGTAACCCTCATAGCCAAGCTCATATCCCCAGTCCAGACCTGTGTACTGAACTTCGACTGCCATTGTGACAGCCTGCAGTAAGATGAGAAAAGAGAAGAACAGCTCAAAGCCATAGGAGCGTACCAGCCTGGTCGGGTGCCAAAAAGGAACCCCAGCTCTCTCTGCGACGCTGAGGGACTCCTTCAAGGAAAGAGGCCTCTCAAGTGTTTGGCTGCGGCTGACCAGGGAGGCGAGGCTGCTGGTAAGTGACCCGTGTGTCCCCAAACGCCGAAAGTTGCCCGTTGCGAGTGACCTCTTCATCCTCAACTTAGTCTTGATATAAGGCGGATGCACCTCGCTCTCAGGCTCTGACCTTTCAGCCTCTGATCTCTCTCCAGCACCCAGACCAAAACTGCTTCCAGCACCCAAGTCATGGCTGCTGCTTCCGTTGTAGTCAATGGGGGCCAGAAACGTTTGCAGGTCCGCGATGACTCCTTCATGTCTCCTTTCTGCTGCAGAGCGTTCTTCTCTGAAGCGCTCCTCCAACCAGCTGGTCAGCTGCGACGCCAACGACTGCGACACCGATTCCTGCTCCATAGCATGGGAGAAAGGCACTTTGGGCACAAGCTGAGCCAAAGCGGTTGCCAGGGGCAGTATGCAAAGCGATAGCTTTTAATTAAGAAGCACCAGCATGCGCCCATTCTCTCGGCAGACAGGAGGGAATATAAAGAAGAAGACGACATGACAAAGATGAAAGCTTCTGGAGACCTTCATTCCGTCAGTCAGATTTTCATCTTTTCAGGCTCGTCACCTTGTTTTGATTCACACGTGTGCGCTGCAGCCGTTGAGTCTGCGTATGCAGTGGCTGCTCAGGGCTCAAGCTATGTGGATTCCAGAAGCCTAGCCTCTTGTTGGCTACCTCTGAAACCTCTTAATCGTCAGCTGAACTCCATCGCGGAAGTGCTGTCCAAAGATATCCTCCACCTTCGGAGCATCACAGGAGTCCACGCTGGCTAGAAGCATCACCACGAGTATCAGTGTCAGTACTAAGGTATAGTCATTCTCACCACGGGCATGATCACCGTTACTAGAGGGATGGTCACATGACTAGAAACCCTCAACCATCAAATCTATCACAAGGCCTTCTCCGGCGTACCCCGCAGAGACGTCCCGTCAATGCTGATGATCAAATCTAGCACTTCGAGGCCCGGTTGTCCCGGCTTAGGGAAGACCTTGCAGTCAGGGCTTCAACATGCGCATCGTACTGCAGGTACAGCACCATCTCGCTGGGACTTCGGGTTTAAGAAGCTTACCCCCACCCAAGTGGGCTCATGGTTTTAGAGCTTAGGCGGTGGCGTATGCGTATTTAGGAGTCCGGCTGTGGGGGGCCACAATGTAAGTTACAACTTTGATTGCCCTGCCTATATGGAATCCCACTTCAAACTAGGCATGAGGTTCCATTTCCTAGATTTAGACTTGAGGGGTGCGTTTGAAGATTTGAAGAATACCAACCAAGTTTGTTTTAGCCGCCTGCATGGCACAAGTTGACATAGAACCACATTCCCTGCTGTTCAATATCCCTATTTGTTCGGGGAAGACAGCGAATGTGGCTCTGGGATTTCAGATGTGGGGCACAGGCTTCGGAGCTCAGCATCCCGCCATTCCAACTCTTATTGTGACGACTTAGTAGTTCACAGAAGACCAAGCCCTCCTGCTCTAAGCCTGATGTGATGTTGTATCGCCGCAAGCCATAACCTGTACGGGTCCCTCCGAGGATCTCCTAGGAACAGATCGGGGTTGTTCTGACACACGCGCCAAAGAAACATTGACACAACAGGGCTGCCAAGTGGCCTTCATGACTTTCATGCCACCTGCCTCTGGCTCTAGCTCCACGCCGGCACCATCAGTGGGTGAAACCTGGGCTCTTTCAACGTGCGGGCGTTTCACGGCAGACTCGTATTCAGTGACAACTTTTGCCGCTGCTGCGGCGGCTGCGGCTAAATAACGACAACCCCCACCCCCAGCACTACCACCACCGCCGCCGGTTAAACTGACCGCCTTTCTTACTGGTTGGCTGTGCACCGAAGCACGGCTCCTGCGCCTATCTAGCAGTTTTGCCATTGCCGAGTGTCTCATCGCCAGCAAGGGACACACAAACTCGCAACCACAAACAATGTCAACATCAGCCCTTCAAACAAGATCAACGGCAATCTAAAACTGCTGCTGACGCAGCTGCGCAATCCAAAAACTGCGGCTGACGCAGCTGCTTATGCTGCTACTCTGCTGCCGCCTGATTCTGATGCCACGGCTAAGCAGAATAAGACTGACGCATCAGGAACCTTTCTTGGGCCCTGAGGACAGCATAGACACTCATCATTAAACTCTAAGAAGCATTACCCTTTCCGCCTTCAGGATACTCTTTCCGGACCGTTGAAAAAAAGGGTATCCCTCTGTCATCTCATGGACATTACAGTAGACCTTTATTCCAAAGGAACCCTGCAAAAACACCCTGTCCCGAAACCTTACAAGACTAATCCATACCTTGCCCCTGCCTTCAGGGTGTGTGTCAGCAAGCGGTGTGACTTCTTCTTGCGCTCTTCTGGGAGCGAGGGCAGCGTCGATTTCGCAGCCACCGTTCCTCTTGGCTAAGGGTTTAGGAGCTTGTAGGCAGTATACAAGGATTTTATAGGAAACCTTTGCTGATCATGTGGATGTCATCTTGTCCTGGCCATATCAGTGCCATAACATAGCCTTGTAGTTCCTTGCTGTTAAATGCCTTGGTCCCCAAGGGCTACCTGAACTATATGCAAATGTGTCCCAGACGGGTGCAGGCGACGTGTGTTTCGCTGTATTTGCTGGTTGGATGTTTGAACCCCATTTGTTTCAACGAGTTCGGCTTGCTCCTTCCTTCAAGGTCCTCGAAAAACAATGGCTTCGATTTCGAAACTGAACGCAGCTGTACTTCATAGCCTGATCCCCTTGACCCAGTTTATCCTATTACCCCTATATATACCCGATTCCCGATTCTATCATAGTAGTTTCCATTTTCTTTTCCATTATCCCACTATAGATAGCGCCCTGGCCTCCATTGACGGAGCCGTGACCTGGCAAAGCTTGGAATGACCCGTTAGAAGACACCAAGATTTCAGCACCACATCCCTCTCAAGTCCGAGCTGGAGGTCTTACGAAGACTCCTTCAACTTCGTGCTACGTGTATGCTCTGGATTCCGGCCTGGAAAGTTGAAGTTGATGAGGTCCTGCAATTCTCTGCGCGCCTTTCTCCGCTCATCCTCGCACCGTTCTTGCATATCTGTGCACATGCGGCGGAGTTATACATGTATTTTTGGGACGCGCGGCTGGGCATACTGCATTACATTTCAACCCCGCAGGGCAACTCTTCTGAGACTCTGCATTGCCCAGTCTTGCAGTTTGCATATGGCAGACACATACCAAAGCAGCACGCCACATCTACTTGCCCCAAGGAACAAAGATACGCTACCGACTCACCTGCAGCACCCAAGGTGGCCCTGCACGCAAGGTGGGCCTTTGGGCTTGGCTGTATACATACCCAATACAGTTCTCCCCCCAGGTTTAGGTATAGGTTTGAATTGTTCAGGAGTTTCAGGGTTCGGGGGGTTGTTGGGGGAAGAAACTCACAGACACACTTTGAGCGGCGTCCTCTGTTACCCCCAGCTGCATGTTGGCCACAACAAATGTTGCCTCGATGCTGTCTCGCTTCCTCCTCCTTGCAGATGCTCCGGAATGTCTTCTCCCTCGTCCAGAACAAAAAGATTTGTCCAAGAGACTGGATTGTAGCTCCACAGCGCCATTTGTAGATCCAATGCTGGAGGTCACGGCGCAGGCCATCGATCTGCTCCTGCAACTCGACAACAGCAACGGCACGAGCAGCGGCCTGCTTGTAAATTAGCAATCATTTGAGCGACGCTTGGTAACCCTAACAGTGATAGTAGCTCAGGTGGAATCTCTGCGGCCACACAGTAAAGAACAGCACACGGGTGTCCTTGGACGGATCCCCAGGAAGCTGGAAAGGCTCCTCCTGCTCTTCCGGGGGCGCATGCCTTGCAAAGCTTGGAAGACATTCTCTCATAGGGGTTTAGGGTTTAGGGCTAGGGAGCTGTAGCGAGAAACCATATGATGCACGGTTTTTATTTAAGGTCTGGGCAACTGGTCGTGTTATCGTTTTCCCATTTTCGGTGTATATGTTGTCGTTATCGTTTTTGGTGAGTGCGTTATNNGTCACGAATCCAATGGCCATCCTTTACATATCTCCTATGACCGATAAAAAACCACGCATCATATGAGCGCCTGTCAAAAGTTGATGACTGGGCACTTGCAACGATCGGAACAAGTCACTTTTCTAGTTACCCCGTTGCAATGCAGGCCAGAACATTGCAGGGTTCTGGCCTGCATCAGAACCGGTTCTTGATTTGTGGTCTTGGTTTTTGATGTGTCCTTTCGCTACAAGCATTTCAGTCAGGGCTAAGCTGGGGGCTCCCTCTTTTCAGGGAATCCTGTCGGCATACGGGGTATCGAGGTTCCATCAATACACGCAAGGTTTCACGATCGCACATATCATGGTCTCAGAAACTGTGGGGTAGGCCTGAATTGGTCGAGGACCTTGGAGAGGCTGCCAGCGCTTGTGGACACCCAGGGATGTGCCAGACATCTATCCAAATCCAGCCGGCCCATGGGGTCGAACTGGATCAAGGCTCGAATCAAGTTTTGCGCGTTCTCAGTCGGCCTCCCGCAGCACTAGCAAGGGGCTCCTAATTATTGGACACGCTGGCAATTTCCCTGAATGAGAGGATCCCAATGTAGACCACAAGATACTCTAGTCCTTATCATGGGGACCCCCAAGAGAGTAGCCCCAATTTTATGGAAACTCCTTGTGGCGGTGAGGCAGATCAGTGCAGATCCCACCTCCGTCCAGCGGGAAACTGCACAGATGCGCGTCGAATCTGGACGTCGATAGGCTCGCCCAAACCGTCAAAGGGGTAGGCACCCACCAGCATCACATACAGAACCTTGCCATGGTAAGAAGCATATCACCAGGACCAAAGCCTCTCGTAGTAGTAACAATACAGTAGCAAAAGTAGTAATACTGTAGCCAAGAGGCAACACCTAAAGACCACAAGTCCACTTGCTTGTCGTACCCCTTGGCCGCCTGGCATCGGAGAAACTTTCGGAAACAATGCAGGCTAGAAGTAGAGGCGCTCATAGCCGTAGTGGATAGCATGGTGCCGTCCTGAAAGGGGTCAGACACCTCGGGAGCCCAGTACTGCGGCGTTCCAACCTCAGACTCTGCAATTGAAATCCGCAAAGACCGCTGGCCTTTGCAACACGCATCGCAACATGCATATCATATCTAGTATACGTCGAAAACCACCCGATGCAGCACAGGCTCAACTACTAATTTGATCTTCAGTGGGCAACTCCAACAACACCCCAGTAGCACCCGGTGTGGTCCAGATCTCACTACTAGCAATGCGCAACCACGATTGCACAAGCAAGTAACTTGCTTGCCTTTTGCCCGTGCACCTTGTCTTACAACCCTAACTAACATGGTAGTTTCCCAAAATAAGGGGACCCCAATATAGACCCCAAAATATTATGGTCCTTATTATTGGGACCCCTAAAATGGTACCCCTAATTTTGGGAAACTCCCACATGAACGTGTTCTGCGCAGCTGGCCCAAGAGGATGGCTCGTCAAAGCTGTGGCATCAGCCAAGCTGCAGCAGAACTTTGATTGCTGCCCAGCAGCTCGGGTCAGCGCAGTGCTATACCCGTCGTGGATGAGCTTGGAATGCCCAAAGTCTGACAACTTGATTTCAAGCAAGCCTTGTCGGGAATTCTTCTGGTCCTGATGACCAGGCGTGACCAGTTCCCAAACTGATGTTTGCTGACATGGCCGGAACAAACGCCTAGGAGCAATGCGGCCAAGCATCCACAAGGATGTTCTCCGGTTTCAAATCCCGGTAGACAATGTGCTGTGAATGAATGTACTTCAAACCCTCAGCAATCTGGATGAAAACCTGCGAAGACTGCAGCGTGGGGAAGCAAGTTGGCAGACCGCACCACGGAATGCGCACTGTCGTTCCAGCAACTGAAATGGTAGTTTCCCAAAATGAGGGAACCCCAATGTAAACCCCAAAATACTGTAATCCTTATTTTGGGAACCCCCCAAAGAAAGGTACCCCTAATTTTGCCCCCAAATATTATACGCCGCTGCATACTGCCGAGCCACATACCGCGCGACTGGCTCGGTAAAGGAGCCAATTTGCACGATGTGATCGAAAAGCTCACCACCCTCCACAAGCTCCATGACCTGGGTTGATGCGCAGGGGTACCTTTTTGATTCTTCCCTATAATAAGGACTATAGTATTTTTGGGTCTATGTTGGGGTCCCCCTATTTAGGGAAACTGTTTGGACCCTTGGATGTATTCCACCTCACAGTACCACAATTGCTGTATGCAAATCTTTGAACACCCCACTGTCCAGCTGCGACACCAGGTGGAGGTAGTCCTGACCCTCAATGTAGTCATAAAGTGACACGATCCGGTTGTGCCGCAGTGAGGAGAGAATGGACACCTGCAAAGCAGTTCCAATGTCACTAAGACTATGCTATGGTATGCTGTTGGACGGCTGTTAGGTGTGAAAGCAACACACCCTTGTCCTCACATTACCGGTCAGGCCTCCCGGTGCAGCTTTTCCGACACTTTTTGGAAGTTTGGCTGCAGGCGGAGCTTTCCTATGTTAATGCTCTTGACCTTACTGCCAGCTCCATACACATCTTGCAGAAAAGATCTTGTAAAGTTGATCCTGGGAATCGTGCGGCAAACTGTTTGTTGTCCTTCTTCCGTACGCACCTGTGGCGCTGCGGCGTTGCAACTGCCAAGCATTTCACTCTGCCCTAAAGATGGTGGAGTCCCAAATAGGACTGATGGTTCAGGAGGGTGTCTCGCAGAGCCTGCACACAGTCGCAGTCGCCCCTGAGCCGAGCTCCTCGAGCATTGCGTACTTTTCCGGATCCTCCTGTTGAGAATACTTGGAAGTCTTCAGAGCGCACCACGTCGATTGAATAATTTCTAGACCAAGAAAGGGCCATGGCTGATGAATGTAGGTGATTTGCAGGCCCATCTAACCCTGTCCTTGGGCCCGAAATGATTTGCAGAACTGGTTGCTGCAGCCTCAGTTCAGGCGCGCAGGCAATACCAAAAGGCTAAAGTCACAGTCTGGCGGGCTAAGAAGCTGCAACAGACGACGGCGTTGGGGGCCGCGACTTTGCGGCAGCCTCGGCAGCCTGACTGCACCGAATCAAATGGAAACGAACATGGAACATGAAAGGTCAACTGGATTGTACCAGATGTATGAAGGTTGTAGGGCATATTTCCGCTGTAACCAGATGGAAATGTCAGATGAGGAGTGTTCTGCGGAACATTCATAAATCATGATTGCGGCAGCCTGCGCCGATGCCGTGTTCTGGTCATTGCCCACAACAGCAGCCGCCTGTTTCTCTACGCCTCAGCTGTTGCGGAGTGCCTTCCAGAAAGGGCGCCTCACCTAAACCCCCCTCCTACCAGCCAGCCCAGTCTCTGGACCCCTGACCCCCCCCTATTTCAGCCCCCCGTCCCCTGCCCCCCCACCCCCTTATTGGTTGCCTGGCTCACGAGCCAGCCCAGTCTCTGGACCCCTGACCCCCCCCCTACCCCTCCCCTACCCCCACCCCCCCCTCCCGACCAGAATTCAACCAAATTC